AGAGTAAGTACCTGGACACCTGTTGCAGTTCTTGTTGGTGTATTGATTGCACCATGTTGAAATCCATTATCGCTAAGTTGTGTAGTAATTGATTCTTTCCATCATACATCTCAATGTTCCATCTGGCTTCCAATCTTTGCATTCGATAGTGAAATGGAAGTTCCAAAGCATGGCTCACTCGAATTGCGCTTTTCGTGTCCATGCTTAACATCATTTTGTTGAGGTGGAAGCCTGTAAATTCTCTGGCCTCCTCCAAAATACTCTCCCCATCAAATCCCAGATAAGAAGCTTCTTGCAAACTTAACATTCCACGAATATCTGTAGCTACCGTTGCTTTGAAATCTCCTTTGGAATCCTTGAACCTCTCAAATATGTCTTTTTCCATTAAACAAATTAAACATGCTTAGTTAGTAGAGGATGCTTGGATAGAAATATTTTTAAAAAAATCCTATCATTTTTAACTAAATCACTTTTTTTTTTTAACTCAACTTTAACTCAACTACACTATAATTAATATAATCAATATAATTAAGTAATATCAATTAATCATTTTCACTCATCACATCAACTTTAATTCACTGTTCATCCACTCACATAATTTTAACTAACTATCACTTCAAATAATCTCTCTCCGATTTTTACATCAAATCAACTCTAATTATTTTATTTTAAATATTATTATAATATCTATACTTATATTAAAAGGGGTACTATTTACCAAATTAAGTAGCCAGAAAAGTCAACAGCATTTATTGCATTACTATTTCCGTATTATATTATATAAAAGGATATTCTATTTACTACATTTATTATCCAGAAAAGTCAACTACATTAAATGTCATTACTATTTTGGTATTATAATATTTTGTTTATTTAATTGATTTATTTATTTGTTTTATTTTAAAAAGGTAAGTATAATAAAAAGATTTTAATAATAAAAAAATTAAATACCAAATAAAAATGTACACTTTGACTTATTTGATTATATTTGGTATTTGATTATACCAAATATATTCCTATTTAGTATATACATTAAATACTTATTAAAGTATTTATTTGTTTTATTTGTCAAAGTTAAGTATAGATTTGTTTATATTATCAAATCATAAAAAATATTAAATCCATATTGTAATAAAAAAATTCATATAATTTTATCACCCGGGCATCCCTCTCTTGGACAGGGCGAAGTATGGTGCCTTTTAGGTGGGGGTATTTTTTATAACAATTCTACTACACTATTTAACAATATTCTTTTTTTATTATATAATAAAATAATAATTAAATATTATATGGTGAACAACAATAAGTAAAACTATTACTCTCTTATATCAATGGATAAATTTATATGCTAAAATTAAATTTTTATTAGTATAAATGTTTTAGTGAGATAATATATTAATTATTTTACGAGCTAGCCCTAACATGCTCATATTTAATGTTTTAAAAGATGTAGAAAAAAAATTTATAATAACTCTATTGTTTTTTAGACTTAAACGTTGATTAAAAGAGGTAAAAATTCCTAATTTTTTAGACTTAAACGTTGATTAACACCATAGATTGAGAGTTTATATTTAGTAAAATTCCTAATTGTAATAAAAAAATTAATTTTTGCTATATTTTAGAATATCTTTAAATTCATCATAAAAAAAAGAAAAAAAAAACTACAATGAAAAAAAAAAAGACAGCTATATATCGATTTGTTGTACTCCTCAAATCACATTCACAAGTTGGCTACAAGAAAATGAAACTCATTGATTAAAATATTATTTTGTCAGTAGTCTTAATGTACAAGAGACTTTAAGACTCCACTTGAATATTATAAAATTTTTATTGAATATCGTACAAGTTTTTGCGTATTATAAACTTTTATTGAATATTACATCTTATAATATAACATTCTCTAAATAAATATATCTCGCGGGTCACGTACTATATATATTTCGTACATTTTTCTTTATTCATGTATATAATTATAAGTCTGGATAAATAGCCTTGAAATTGTGCACCCCGTGCATCGTACGCGCTCTGTACTAGTATCCACTAAAAACTGACCATATTACTTTTTTCAAAATTAGTCAAATCAAACCAAAATATCCAAACAAATCCAAAACTTTTTATATCCAAGATTGCGTCAAAGATGCCTAGTCCCAAATAGTATAACGTGTACCTGCTGAAATACTGAAGCCGAGTTGTCGAGCAAGCCTGAAAGAGAGAGCGCAATCATGCAAATCATGAAAGATTTTGTGGTTGGCTTGTCGAGACGGAATTGAAATCAGTAAACTGCTGATGGCTTTTTCAGTGTGCTTTTGGAATTTATAACCGAGTCCCAAACGATGAATATCATCAATTAACTCGAGCAACTCGGATTCCTCCAAGCATTCATTTTCAAGCAACCACCTAATTTCCATCTCCATTTCCTTTAACTTTTGATCTACAGTTTTGGCCTTCTTGTCAATTTCCTTAAATGCAATAACAGGACATAATTAGTAGTTAATAGTACAACTAAGACTGTCAACTACTGGACATAATCTCTACAAGTCACTGCATGAGAACAAAAGTTCTGTTATATTAATTAAAATAATACTCACCGCATGGTTGTTTTGAGTCCCTAGCGATTCCATCAACTCGTAACTCCACGAACTTGGCAGGTAATGTTGTTTGGGCGAACAATGGAATTGCCATTTTTGTTGGGAGATTTTCGGAAAAACTTTATAGATATTTTTCTTAGATAATAAGTGGTTTAGAGAGGAGTATTGAAAGGGCTTGATATTCATGATGCTGCTATAGGCCATGGTTTGATCCAACTACTTTTTATATTTTGCTACCAAGAGTTAATTATATGAGTAAACGTTGTTTTTCCCTTCGCCATATATATACTGGGCAAATATGAGTACAATGAGGCAATTGGGACCAATAATATATCCGCGTTTATTCCCTT